AATGATTGTTTTATTAAGGCTATGAGAATGAGAAAGATAATGAAAACCAAGAATATAAATGAAGGACTATATGCTCTTCATGGTTAGAAAGTGACTTAATTTTCAACTTGTTTTATTGAGGTGACAAGATAAATTATATCAATATCCTAGACATCCATTTATATAAGTCTAATAAAGTTTAGTTTTTTAAATAAATTCAACTCTATTCATGAGAGTTTTCAAACCAAAAGGTCTAGTTAAATTTCATTTACTAGTTTAAGTAGGCATTTATGAAAGTTCATTTAAATATATGAGGTTTTACAGTTGTTTGCCCCACTATAAACTTTTAATATTATGTTATTTTTATTGATTAATTCACTCGATTTACTTGGCTATATCCATTTAAAAAGTAGTTTTATGTTGTTGCATGTTTTCTTCATTTTCATAAATATATGGAGTGCTAATTAAAAGGAAAATTAAAAATTTTCAATCTTATAAGATGAGGTGAATGTTTAGATGTTATATTTACAGGATTTTTGGATTGTCACAACATTATTCACCAAGTTTAAGATCCTAATACTCTTTAGAAAATGGTTTTGCTAGAAAATAAACACGAGAATGTATAAGAACTTGGGCTTACTATGATGTTGCATGTAAATATTCCAAAAAGGTATTGATGCAATTGTTTTAGTACTGTTGTTTTCTTGATAAATAGATTATTAACACCAACACTTGATATATATTTACCTTTTTGTAGTTTTTTTTTATAAGTAACAAGATTATTCATCTTCAAAGTTTTTTTATTGTAATATTTTTCCTTTCTAGTTAAGTATTCTAAAACTAAGTTAGATTCAAAATGTTTACCATGTGTATTTTTAGGATATAAAAAAAAATAAAGGATACAAATGCCTCTATCTACCAATAAAGAGAATTTACATGTCTCATTATATAGTATATGATGAATTTGTTTTTATATTTGCTAATCCGCCATTACTTTATAATACATTTGGGGAAAAAAGGATTTATTTATTTATTAAGAATGGACTAGGCAATCTAAAAATAATAATAATAACAACAATAATATATTTAATGGAACTATTTTTTTTTGTTAATATGATAAGGCATATGAATTCATCACCTATATAATATTTAATGACAATTGTATCATCCATAGAGAGAGATAAATTCATGTCTAAAAGAATAGATATTGTAGATCAAATGGTCAACCCATAAAAATTCACTATGGTTGATTCCCTTAAAAGCTCAAGTTCTAATTTCATAAACCTCATACAAAATGACACAAAATTAGAAATTAAGAGCATTTTATTGTTTCCATATATACCATCTCATAATGCTTCACTTGAAGATATTATGTCGCTTGCGTTAATTCAAGAAATGGAACCAAACTCCTCACAACAACACTTGTCACTAGATAACAATGATCATAAACCACTTGTAAGTATAACCATTTTATCTAGTGATACTTATAAAGACATTAGTCTTGTTATTTCATTTTGCCTCAACACTAGAGAGCATAATATGACTACTTACTATATGCATGGTATTAAAAAACCAAATCCATTTTATATTGCTTTGCATCAAATGCTTTCTTTCTTTGATATTCTAGAAAAGCCAAAGTCTATTGAATCCATCTTAAAACATTCAAGTTGGCTTGAGCATTTTAAAACATATTTAGTGGAAAAAAAGTTTAATTAAGTTGAAATGGTTTATCTCATTAAAACATTCTCTTATATTATGAAACCAAATAGTATTCATACTATACTTATTGTTGCTACAATTAAAGGAGCATATTCATCAACTTGATAAAAAAACTTTCTTCCTCTATAAGCATATACAAAAACTAGTATACATGTAGCAACCCTATAGCTTTATTAAAAACTTAAAAAGTTATTATATATGTTTAAAGAAGCCCACCAGTCTTATTTTTTTACTAATACATTTTATTGCAGCATTGCACATCCCTCTTTATTCATTTGACACGCTCTAAAAGGTATACTTTTGCTTATTGTGTATGTTGATGACATGATTAGTTTGACAATGCCTTTACAATTAAAGAATTTGGCATTCTTTACTATTTTTTTGGTATTAAATTTCATCCATTCTCAGGTGGTTTATTTTTAAACCAAGCAAAATATGCTCATAATATTCTAACTAAAGCTCAAATGTTAGACTGTAAACCTATCTCCACTCCTATAGTAACCAAAATGCGCAAAGTTTTGTTAAATGATGATTCATGTCATAAACTTGTACACTATCAAAGTACTATTAAGGCTTTATAATATCTCATTTTTATAAAACTAGATTTATCGTAAAGTGTTAATTATGTGTATCGATCCATGCATAAACTTCTTATTGGTTAATACAAAACTATGAAATGTATTCTCTGTGATTTGAGTGACACTTTAAATCGTGGAATGAGGATATTGAAAAATAGTTCACTTGATCTATATATGTTTTTCAAATTTTGATTGGGCATGTTGTTCACTTACTTATCATTCAATAATGGATTATTGTACTTTTTTAGGTAATAATTGTATCTTTTATAATGCAAATAAACAATCATTTATTATTTTATGTAGTGTAGAGGTAAAATATTAGGCTATGACATCTATATTTGCTAAACTTATATAACTCTCTTTCATCTTGCATGACATTGATTTTCTTCTTCTACAAACTTTTACATTATATTGTGACAATCTAAGTGCTTTATACATAACCATTTATCTAGTATTCCATGCTCATTCCAAACACATTGAACTTTATTATTATTATGTATATGAGAAAGTTACTTGTGGTAATCCATCTATATTTTTATACTTGAATTATAAGATTATGATTTGTAATGGTTGTTGTATGATTGATATATAAAAAAAATACAAACCATAACATCTACACTGAGAGTGAAAAATTTAATCTCAATATTCAATTGTCTTTATTGAAAACAAACAAAGACATAAAGATTCTGATGTAAATCAAGATAATTATGATTTATGCTCTTTATTATCATTAGACCACTTATTGTGCTACCAATCTATGCCATATTAATTAGCCCCACAACTATGAATTATAAGATTATGATTTGTAATGATTGTTGTATGATTTGTATATATAAAAAACATAAATGATCTCATTTACACTAAAAGTAGGAAATTCGATCTGTTAACCAAACAATCACAAGTTTGAATATCATCATTCTCATTCTATTTTATAAAATTAAACACGAGGTAGTGATGAGTCTATGTAAATTTCAAATCCAAAAGGTTTTTACTTTATAGAAAATGCTAGAAAAAAATTTAAAATAACATAATAGAATCTTACCTAATAATTTAAGTTTTTGGATTCTGATGACTCTTTAACACTCAATAGATATATCAAGAAATTTCTTCCTACTAACATGTAGGGATGATAATGGAGCTAATTTGAGACAAGTTATACTTCTTTCATTATATTAATCAAGTATGGGTAGAAGTGCATTTTTTTATATTGGATTTGAATTGGATAAAAAGATTCTTCATTAATTAAAAAAATATTTTTTATATTTATAATTAATAGTTAATATTTAAGAAAAATAAACATTAAGTTGTATGAATATTGAATTTTATTAAAACACTTATACATAGTAATCAAAATATATATCCAATAGATATTTATTTTAAAAGATTATTACTTATAAAATATTAATAAAGAAATACTAAAAATGGTATATATAATTAGGGAAAGGTTTTCCAAGGAATATATGTACCCCTCCCCCAATCTCATTTATTTTTCATGAAACTGTAAATAATCATTTCTACTAAAACAAGGAAGCCAAGATAAATTAAAATATAAGCAAAAGTCTTATTAAATTATTCTATTTAAAACCTTAATTAGATACTTTATTTGGAAACAAATTGTTTTGTTCTCCTTTAAAGAATTTTCCACAATTAGGGAGTTTAAATAAGTGAGTAAAATTGGTATGTATTTTCTTAACTTAAACTTCTTATTTATATGAATCTCTAAAAATTTATATTTTTTCTTTTAAAGAAAAGAAGTCCTTTTAATCTTAATTTTAACATTTTATTCTCTTTTCTAATTAAAATAAAATTAAACATTTAACATATAGAATGTCATGTTATATAAAAGGAGAGATACACACACAAAAACAATACTTAACTATTTATATCATTATTTCTTTTTAAATGAAAGTATATATAATAACAACACTTGTTTTGTATACAGTCTGAGAGCGTGGTAGTAGTTTTTTAAATATTTTTAATTTAAAAATACATTAATTTTTTTAAAAATTTATTTTTAATATTAATACATTAAAATGATTTTAAAGAATAAATTTTAGCAAACCCCTGTTTAAATCACCATCTCAAATGGGACCTACATTCATGTACATCAAATAAAATAAAAGGTTCAAAAACCTTTACAATATGAATAATTAGATGTAGAGTACATAAGCCATAGGTAAAGGAAAAAAAAAAAGAAAAAAAATCAATTGCATGTCACGTTTTACCTCTTCAACATAAAAAAAATATTTTTAATGTACTAAGGGGTATTATATTTTTTTTAAATATTTTTTAATTGAAAATTTTTTAAATTAATTTTTCTTACATATTTTTTTAACATTAATATATCCAAATACATTTAATTTAAGATGGAAAAAAGAATTTTTAATCGTATGTCTAATCATGGAAACAAACACTCCATTGGAAAAAAAGATGGTTAAGTGACCACGAATAGAGATGGCAGGTATCAGCTCTAAGCCTCTCGTTACATTACATGGCCTCTACTCCCAACACACCCATTTTTGGACATTTGAAAAAAAACAAATGGTAATGAGACCTTCAAGGTTGGATTGCAAGTACATGGTCAAAAATAAAGAACAAGGTTAGAGAGCACCAGGAAGAGACAAGAAATCAATAAATTAGTGCATTAATATACTGGTACAGTGAGTGTACCAAAGACTTGCATGAAAACAAATGCTCATTGGTTACTAGTGTGGAGTTCCATTACACTTTGGTGCATTTACTATCCCCCCTCCCCAAGTCTCTCTCTCTCTCTCTCTCGCTTTCTTTTTGTTTGTCGCTTGAAAGTTTACAAAAAACAAATGGCCCTTGACAAATTAAAAGGGGTTTCTCTGGTTTCTGTTTGAGACCTAAGTTGATGCTTGCTTCTGCTTCTGCTTCTGCATCTGTTCTGTGAGTATGCATGTCATCTTCTTTGTCTCACAAAATTTTGTCTTTTAATCAGAATTTCTCAGTTTTGACTTTGTCTTGAGTACCTGCTTCTTCTCTGTTTTATTTTCTTGGTTTCTTCACAGTGTATCTCCGGTTTATATGGTCGTGATCTTTGTACTCTACGATGGGCTCATTTTATGTCTTGTTTATTTATTAATAAAGAAACTGTCTTCCATGGCTGTATTTTCACCTCATTTTCTTGTATTTTCCATTTTATTTGGTTGGTGTTTAATTGCTCTTTATAGTAACATGGTGGTGCTCTTTTCTAGGATTTGATTCTTTTCTTAAATTAAAAAAAAATTTCTGCTTCTATCTTTCTTTACTTCGGCTAACAAAGCAGATTTTTATTTTCTTGGGGGTTGTGTTTTACAATGGAAAAGTCTTTGGTAAAATAAGTTATAGGAATTCTGTCCTTATTTCTCATGTTCTTATGAGGTTGAATTTAGCAGAAAAATTGGTGAGAATTTTTTATTAAATCGTTGAACCTCCAGGAATTAGTTTGAACTCTTGAGATAAAGACGGTCAAAGCAATCAGTCAGGTCGTTTCAGAGGGAATTTAATGGCTATGAAAACTTTCTATTTCAAAGAACATGAAGGAAGTGTCCATAATCCAAATGGGCAGTTGTCAACAGTGCCATGGTGGACTGCATTTGGGTCTCAGGCTGTTAATGGTGAATCGTGTGGCCTATTGAAGGCTTTACCCATAGAACAGCCTGCCGGTCGAGGTGAAACTGCTACTAAGCACGCCAGGATGGGTACTGAGCAAGGGTTGGATAAAGCGAACATCACTCAATTCACTATATTTCCCGGTAAATCATTCTCCTTTACATGGTTTAGAAATTTGCACAGACGTCTTTCTGATTGTTTTGTTGCTTTTTTTAGGTAATTCTTGTCATTAGTTACGAATTTGCAGCTTCAAAAGGCATTGTGAAACTTTGTATTGTGCTCTGTATAACCTCTGGACTACAGCAGTTTGCACCAGAAGGTTTTAGATTTACAACATCAATCTATTTCTTAACACTTTTTTGCCACAAAATGATTGTTTTATAATCGAGGCTCGAGACAATGGAAGTTGTTTCTGCCTAAATGAGGATTTATAATTTAGCCAGTATTTAAGGGTCAAATAGAATATAAGAGTAGCTTTTCAGTTTCATTCACAGTAGTGGATGTGCCCCCGAAAGGCTGGAAGCATGCAGTGGCAAGTTTAAGGTTGGAAGCATGTTTGAATCAAATTAGATAAACTAGAGTGTTAAGTGATATGGTAGATCGATCCATATTATTACTAAGAAGGGCACTTGTTGGTTTGTGGGAAATACAAAAATTTATGATTTCCCAGAATATAAAACGATAGTTAAAATTTAACTCTTGATTCACCAAACCATGCTACCTTACGCAATTTGTAGCTCACATGGCACACACAGGTTGCCACACAACCTACACAGTGTCACTATGCACTCACAAGACACACACAAATATGCCTGGCTTTAACTCAACCCGCACACAACACAACTTTTTTCTAAACCACACAAGGCACTGGTGTTTTTTTTTTTTTCCTTTTTTTTAAGGGAAAAAAACACTAGACACTTAAGAGAAGACCAAGTTCTTATATTTATAGAAGTTGTAAGCAATAACAAGTTCTAACATTAAGTAGGAAATCATCTTTAAATAGGACTAACAACAAATCCTACCAATCCCTATTAGGAGATCAAATTTCTAGGATATAAGGATTAAAGATTAATATCCTCTTGTTTAATTTCCAACATGATTTCTGTTTAGAGAGTGGTAGATGAGGAATAGTTGTGTGTGAATAATGAACATTCATACTAGAATTTAGCCAAAAAAATCCACTTGAGAAAGATATATTATGAGAGAACTGGAACATTCGCTGCTCAAATGTGCTGCAGCCATTTAGCTCTGAACGGTGCCCAAAGACTTGCATTTTTTTTGGACTGTTATACTGAAAAGGATAAAATCATAAAATTAGTTCTTATATAATTTCGGAGCCAACAATGTCTATTCTATGCTAGATGCTTGATGAACTTAGGGATAAATAAATGTCCTAAAGAAGATTTCTTTCTCCTATGTATGATAAGGAATAAACTGAGGCAACATGAAAACATGATTGTTGCTAAACTAGTCAAACATGTGCCAGAAAAAACATGGACTGTGATCTGATGTAATCGGATCCGTTTGCATGGAGAAAACATGTATCACCCGTTGGAAGAAATCGTGATCAATGATGATTGCATCTCAAAGTCATTTCTTGGCACGTGGATGCAGAAAGCAGCGTGGAAATGCTGCTTGAGTCATTCTGGAAAAAAGGTAGCTTGAAATATGAAGTGCTCAACTGGTCTGACATGTCTTCATCTTTCATGCCCCAAAAGACCAGGTGATATCATAAGGGTGAAATACTGCTTCCTAGCATTTATATTTTCCAGAACCTGTTCAAAGACTATCTTCTTCCCATTTGATACACTGAATAGTTTATCACAGAACTAGATACACTTGGTTATTTTGATCCATCGTTATAAAAGAAAGTATCACATGGAGTTCTGGTACCTAGTTGATAGATCAGCCGTTCAAGTCCAAATTTATCCACCTATTGTTTTCTCTAAGCACTTTCAATATGACTATTTGTTAACCATCAAGGTAATTTCTCATTCAGGTGACTGCAAACCTTCAGGTGGTGAACAGAAATCTGTTCAGGGAGCCATTTCAGTGCAAACAGCTCTGCCGGATTATTATGCTCATTTTGACTTGGGATTTGGTCAGCCTGTGGTGAGTGTTTTATTTCAATTAAGGTTTTATACTGGCAGTATTCAAACCTAGTTTATAGTGATTGATGGCTAATGGTTCATAATTTGATAAACATGGCTGTAGATCTGCGCAAAGTATCCTGTCGTGGACCAATATTATGGATTATTCTCAACTTTTGGACCTCAAATTTCGGTATGTGATCCTTCTCACAAGAGAAAATACATCTTCTGCAATAACATTTACCCATGTGAAGCAAAACAATCTCCATTCTACTAATCTGTAGTTTACTGAAAGTGATGTGGTCCACTAGTCCCCTTCATTCGAACAAATCCTAACAAAAATTTAAAAAATAATTGTGATAGAATAACCCTTTTTCATATTTGAGTTCTCTTTTATGCTTGAAGAGAACCAGTGACAAATTGACAACTAGAAATCTAGCAACTTCAACTAACTCCATGTTTATTCATAATAATGCAGGGCCGGATTATGCTCCCAATGAGCACGACCACAGATGATGTACCCATATATGTAAATGCGAAGCAGTACCATGGAATCATAAGACGTAGGAAGTCCCGCGCAAAAGCTGCACTGGATAATAAATTGCCCAGAAATCGTAAGGTATGATCTCTTGATTTGGATCCTCAATCTAGCACTATCTTTAGGACATAAAACTTCATATCATTCTAGATTGAAAATATGGTCAGACAAATTAGACCTCATAAGCAAACCCCTTCTCTCAATTCCTAGTCCAAAGACACATTAGTTCAAGTTTGTATGTTAGGGCAAGCCTTTGTCATCTTCCCTCTGGAAAACATTTGACTCAAGTATCAATCTAATACTTAAGCTTCTTTGTTAACGAGCGACCACAATTATTCCTTTAATTGATAACATGTTTAGGACAGATGGTGATTGATCCAATTATAATGGCACATGAATTCTTAGGTTTTGGGTGAAATGAATGCTTGATTCAGTAGGCATAGTTCTTGTTATGATTTTTGAATTTAAGATTCGACCATGCTTTCAATCAACCACTTAAAGCTAATGGAAAGATTCTCTTCTTCTTTAAAGTAAATATCCCACCCTCGTTCTGGCTCAATAATTAAGTTTTTACTGTTGACAGCCTTATATGCACCGTTCACGCCATCTCCACGCAATGCGACGTCCAAGGGGATGCGGTGGCCGTTTCTTGAATACGAAAGAGTTGAATGATGGAAAAGGCATAACAGAGGCTAAGAAAGCTGGTGATTTTCAACTTTTGCAGCCAACTGGTTCTCAGAGTTCTGAAGTTCTGGAATCAGGAGGGGCAACTTTGAACTCCTCAATGGAAGCAAATTGTGGTGGATCAAATCTCTCTGGTTCAGAAGTGACTAGTTTGTACAACAGGGGAGATTTCAATCGCTTCCCTTTCAATCATCATGGGCTAACTGTCCATGGTTTCTCAGGGATGGACGGAGGACATGGCATTGGCATGCCCAGTAAGTGGATTGCAGCAGCTGACAACTGCAGCAACCTCAAACAGCAAGGGAACGGATTGGGTTGGTGCTTGCATCACGCACAAGACCAAACCCCCCCACCTTTGCTGGAACCTGACAACCAAATCTTGGCTTGAAGATGGACTTCACCATTTGGTTGTAAGGGCAAGTCGTTCTTGGCTCCTGTGTATTGATGGTATCTTTGCCATTCCATGCAACCTTGCTGTCATGGATTGGTCAGAGGTGAAACCATAATGCACTGTAACAAAACTTTGGGAACGGACAACATAATAAAGGGGTGTGTTTTCATCAATGAAACAAAGACACCCAGATATGTGTGCTTGATTTGTTATCCTAAACTGTGTTGAAGCATGTTCGATGCTCTTGAAGTTTGATTTCTACTCCATGGTTGTATTTAATTGCTGTATGTTTGTGTTATCATCACTATTTATAAGATTTAAAATAGTTTCTCTTCTTCTGCCTGCAATTTGAAGGAACAATCCTGTGAAAAGCATGTGGGTCTGCGTTTCAATTATCACAGCTCTAACCCGGGAGTCCATGCCACACCTGCCCAGCAAGAAGAGACTGGCCCAAAAGGACCAAAACTAATAAAAGCAAACCAAATTGAAAAAAAAAAAGAAAGAAATAAAATTCAGAAACCTTATCTGTTTCTCCCTCTCTCTCTTCCAAAAAATATATCACCAAAACATTCCTGCCCTCCGTTTTCCTTTCAATTGTCTCGCATAATTTCGAAAAGAAAATGTCAGCTCTCTCCATGGCAGCTTCAACCATAACTTCCTCTCCATTACACACAAAGCTTTCAAACCTCTCCTTCACTCACTCTCCACTTCCACTCCCTTCCCACTTCTCATCAAAACCCTTACTTAAACCTCTAAAATCCCTTCAACTCAACAACCAAGACTCTAATTCCCTTTCTCTCCTCTCCCTCCCTCATTTCCATGGCATTTTTGCTGCCTCTTCTGACAGTTTTGAAGCTGGAACAGAAGAAAACACCACAGCTCTAGATGACCCACAAAGTGAAACGGACGAATTTGACCAAGAAATTGTAGAAGAAGAAGGAGATGTGGAGGCCATAAAAGCAACTGAAGAAGGCAAGCTTTATGTGGGAAATCTACCATATTCAATGACTTCTTCGGAATTGGCCGAGGTTTTTGAGGAAGCTGGTCGTGTTTTAAGTGCTGAGGTCTGACATCTTTTGTCTCCTTACTAATTGGATTTGGATTTTTTCTTCTTCTTTATTCGTTGCTTTTTGGAGTATTAGACAAATGAATTATGCTCATGGTTCCTTTTTTTTTTTTCATTTGGGTTTTAAGGTTATTTATGATCGAGTTACGGATAGGAGCAGGGGCTTTGGGTTTGTCACCATGGGAAGTGTTGAAGAAGCTAAAAAAGCGATTCGGATGTTCAATGGAACAGTAAGTGACTTTTTTTCTTGGATTTGTTAAGCTATCTATGATTTCGAGTGCAATGACCTTACAAAATTTTTAGTTTTGCATTGATGTGATCTGCTTTGAGGTTGTTTAAAGTATGTATTGTGGAGTTGGAGAATGCTCATTTCTCTAATCAATTGCGGTTACTGATTTCTCTTTTGTCAATAAAGTTAGCAATCCTTATTGCTCCCTTACCAATTGTCAGCATTTCGTATAGTGTTGTTGTTGCGTTGAGCTGGTGCGAAACCAATCATATGTTAATTGCAATCTCTGCATTGCTAGCTCCTATCCTTATCCCCAGCTATTTATTTTATTCCTCATGTGTGCGCTTTTCTAGATGTGTGTTATCGAAGGTGAGAATTGTGTTTATATGTGATTGCCGCTAATTGAGCTCCATACGAGAAGATGAAAAACGGTAATGATGATGTTGGTGATGGTTGACAGCAATTTGGAGGTCGATCTGTGAGGGTGAACTTCCCAGAAGTGCCAAGGGGAGGGGAGAGGGAAGTAATGGGACCAAGAACAGGGAGTGGCTACAGGGGGTTTATAGACAGCGAACACAAGATATATGCAGGAAACCTTGGTTGGCGCCTCACGTCTGAGGGTCTTGGAGATGCATTTGCTAACCAGCCAGGGGTATTAAGTGCCAAAGTCATCTACGAGAGGGACTCAAGAAGATCACGAGGTTTTGGCTTTGTCTCTTTTGAATCTGCTGAGAGTGCAGAAGCTGCTTTAGAAGCCATGAATGGAGTGGTAAAACCGGATTCTGCTACTGCTTTTGCATCCTTGAATCATTTTGCTTGTTCATTTTTTTTATCAGCTGATGTGTAATTATACTAGGAGGTGGAAGGGCGGCCTTTGCGATTGAATGTGGCTGGAGAAAGATCACCTTCTCCTTCAGCTAAGGAACATAACACAGAAAACAATCTTGAGAGCGGTGAATTGCTGTCGAGCTTTGGAGCCTGAGAGGACCATGTGAATTCCACGGATGTTTAAATATGCTGTTAGATGGAGCGCTGTGGGAAGACATAGCCATAAACTTCCAAGTCTTGATTCAATATGGGACCTCTTTTGATTATTATTACTTTTTTTTGCTCCAAAATTGTATACAAGCTGGCTCGTATAAATTCCATAGAAGAAGATTAAAGTACAAGCTTATGGACTGCAGTCATTTGCTGTGCACTTGGAGTGATGCAGCTCTGGATTGTAAAAAATAAATAAATACTGTGCCAATTTTAATATTAACCTTGTTGTGGCGTGTGCAGAGTTTTGATGGTTAAATTTTATCTTTTCGTTGGTTTGGATCCCTCATTTCTTGTGGTTCTTGAATAGCAGCAAATCCGCCTCCAGTTTCATCAAGGAGTATGCAATCAGGGGTTGAATGATATCAATAGAAACAAATCGATCTTCAGTTGATTCGCAGTTCAAATTAGAAAATGTTCTTCCCGCTATTTTTTTTTTCTAATTGCTATTCTATAAATGGAATGGATTGTGCGATGCTATTTTATAATTGATTGGATCTTTGGAATGATATCTATTATTTTTTTCAAAATAAAGTAAAGAAAAAAAGACTAAAAATGAGTCTTTTGACATATCAAATTAATATGGAAGATCCAACTCATGGAAACAATTGTGTTCAAGGGATCAAGAATGGTATCATTTTTTATATAAAAAACTCAGCTTTTAACGAAAAACCAGATAATAAGCGAAAATTCCAAGTTTCAAAAACAGAGTATTATTTCGGTTTTGAATTTTGCAGACTCGTTAACCATAAACCACATGCCTTGAGATGGAAGCCTTATTGACGGCATCAACAAATGGAGAAGAGGGACTGGAAAAAAACCAGTGAGAGTTTTCCTTCAAGGCTTTAGCAAAGCCACTGGAAGTTCATTGAGAATCAAGATGACCGGCAAGAAGAGCGTTGCCAGCGGAACCCCAATCTCGGGGAAAGAAAACCCTGCAAGCAATGTCTAATATATTTATTTTCTTCTAAAAGGCAATCGTATTTCACTCTTGCAAACCCTTTGGAATTCAAGAAACATTTCAGTTTCTGCAAGCAATTCAACATTTCAAGCCAGGAATTTCAGGGGCCTTAATCGCATCATCTCTGACTGCAATACCGATCCTCTAAAAACCATTACAACCTTCTCTTTCTTTTTGTACCAAAATCTGCATTTATAGAGATAAATGCATCTACTATAACTCTGGCTTCTTAAGAAGATGGCCTGTGAATTAATTTATCCAGCAGAGCAATTCATCTCATGCCACTATGTCCAAAGACTCTGCAACAAAATAAAAAATGAAATCTAACAAAATTAAGGGTAACAGAAACCTGAAACCATCACCTCTATATAGATTATTGAATGGAAGGAGTTTTTTGCAATCTTCAGCACTACCAGTAACTGAACGAGTGACCCCGCCATTGAATCTGCCAAACCACAATTTACTATCCGGACATCAGTTACACATAACATCAACATAGGCCATCAAAGGAAAAGAATTATAAGTTGGTGAAATTTATTTTTAACGCCCGAACCACATTTTAAACCATGTCTTTCGTTTTTTACTCAACTTCGATGCATTTGGAGCGTGAAATGGTTATCCCAGAAAAGGAAGCGTTTTCAAGTTGAACCATTAATATGCAAGGCATCGGGCGGTCATTTGCTCGTAGAAAATGAAATAATTTGTCAATATAACTGATGTATGCCCACACAGTACAGCTTTTAGAGCTATCTATTTCAGAAAGAAATATAGGGTTTAATTTCCATATCTATGTTTCTTACTTTTATTAGGACCTTTTAATTTATTTGTGTGCCAATAAATAAACACCTCGAGTAGACATTTAGCTTAAAAACAAAATAAAATGTGAAGTCAACCATCTAAGTAGGAGAAGGTGAAGTCATCCTCTTACACCATAGTCAAAAATTATAGGCATCAAATTGGTGCTACTTGTCCCACCCTTTGTATTTTGCATAGATGCTTGCCTATAAATAGGCAATGCATCCAAGCATTATAGACACACCACAAAAGAGAAACTTGAGAGCAAGTAGAGAGAAAGAAGAGAGAGTGAGGAGAGAGTAATCCCACAAAATTGTGAGTTATTTATGAGATAATAAGTGAGGTTCTTCTAGTAATAGAGAGATTTTGGTTGTTCTCTTATTATTAGAGAGAAGTTGTATTTCCACATTACTTAGTAAAATTTTTTTATACTTGCCTGTGGACGTAGCCCAATTGGGTGAACCACATAAATTCTTCTGTGTTCCATTTCTCATTTTATCATGTCCCTTACCTTTTTTCTTGTTAGGTTTGCATACCAACCATGCCAGTATCCTAACAGTGGTATCAGAGCCTTCTGGTTGGTGTTGTTAATACACAAAAGTTATTCGTGTATACGGGTACTATTCACGAATACGGCACTATTCACCTATACGGCACTTTTCATCCATACGGTACTGTTCACATACGTTGCTGTTGGCGTATATAGAAAGTCAGTGCGGTGATTAAATACAGTCTAGGAAGTTCTGTCTAAGGAGATTGGGTTTTAAGCGGGACCGTTTGTGACCCCTCCAATCTTTCCTGGGAACTTACTTAGTGAAGTATTATTCACACGATACTATTTCTATATACGTTACAGATCTGTGAAACGGTGATAGCTGAATAGATCTTGGTGAATACAATGGCAGCAAAGTACGAGATTGAGAGGTTTAATGGGAGCAATTTCTCATTGTGGAAAATGAGAATTAAGGCAATCTTAAGGAAAGATAATTGCTTGGCAGCAATTGGGGATCGGCCCGCGGAGATCACTGATAATGCAAAATGGAATGAGATAGATGGCAATGCTATTGCTAACATACACTTAGTATTAACCGATGAAGTATTATCAAGTATGGCGGAGAATAAAACAGCTAAGGAGATATGGGAGACTCTAACAAAGCTATATGAATCCAAGTCTTTGCTCATTAAGATTTTCTTAAAGCGGAGACTTTATACCCTTCGAATGGCAGAAACCACGTTGGTGACTGACCACATCAACACAATAAGAACTCTATTTTCATAACTCACTACATTGGGTCAATAAATATAGGAAAATAAACGTGCAGAGCTTCTACTTCAAAGTTTTCCTGATTCGTATGATCAGCTCATTATCAACTTGACCAATAATATCCTCTCAGACTATTTAGTCTTCAATGATGTTGAGCCATTATCTTGGAAGAAGAAAATAGACGCAAAAACAAAGGAGATAGAAATAGTTCGAACCAAGTAGAGGCATTGTTGGTGTCAAGAGGAAGATCAACGGAGCGTGGCTCTAGTGTGAGTCAAAGGTAGAGGAGGTCCAAATCAAGAAGTAAGAAGGCTGTGAAATGCTACAACTGTGGCAAAAAGGGGCACTTCAAAAAGGATTGTTGGTTTAAAAAGGGTATAGAGAATACTGCAGAGTCATCAAAATCTCAAGAATGTGTTGTGAACAGCTCAGAAGA